TTATCAGCATTTGGTTACTCTGAAATATAATTTGTACAGAAAAGGCAGGGTAAATGTTTGATTCTTTGCCTTCATAAAGAGTAATGACTTAAAATCTAGCAGCCTCCAGTAATGACCAATTTTTTTATTTTTTGGTTTTCCTTTTTTAAATATGCGGGACTCATGAACTTTTAAATATATATGATATATTTCAATGAATCTCTGTCATTCCTTTTGATGCTCATATTATCCTATCTTTTGTCATTGGGGGTCCCTTCAAATTTGCTCCTATGTCCTTTTGACACAGGCCATTTGTGAGAAGATACCCCAAGTCCATCTGCTATATTTTCTATCCGAGACCTGAAATCAGCCATTTTCCCCAAGGAATCCTGGTTCCTTTTAGTGAGAAATGATACTTAAGAAGAGATCACAATCTGGACACTAGGCATGCTTCTTTGCTGCCTGGTTGACATTGTTTTCTAAGTCTTTTCAGTGGATATGGTCAGAAATTGTGTATATTTAAGGAAACATTATAAGTTCACAGTGATATTTTCAGTTAAAATCTTAGATTAAGTAAATCAGATTTTTACTTCTTTAATTATATATTTGAATGTCATTTCTCTAATGCTTAACCTTTTGGTTCCTAAGAATATTAATATATCATTACTTGATTTACTCTATAATATACTTACTATATTGTAATATATGTCAAATTGGATTTGCAATTTTCATTAATACCATTTTTATGTTCTTTTTAGATTAATATAGTGCTGAAATTATCACATTTACCTCCCCTGCCAAGTTATAGTCTTGATCTTTGTGAGTTTCCACTTGATTATACATCTCAGAGATTTTATGTGATGCAAGGAATTGTGATTGCAATGACAACTGTAACCAAGTATACACAAGGTGCAAGATTCCTTTGTTCAGATGAAGCGTGCCCTCTTTCAAAAGGTAAATATTAAAATGTAAAATCAAAACATTAAGCAATTGGCTAGGCATGGTGGCTCATGCCTGTAATCCCTGTACTTTGGGAAGCCGAGGAGCGAGGATCACCTGAGCTTCGAAGTTTGAGACCAGCCTGGGCAACAGGGAGAAACCTAGTCTCTACAAAAAATACAAAAATTAGCCCAGCATGGTGACACATGCCTGTAGTCCCAGCTATTTGGGAGGCTGAGTTGGAAGGATTGCTTGAGCCAGGTAGGTTGAGGCTACAGTGAGCTGTGTTCATGCCTCTGTACTCCAGCCTGGATGTTCATGCCACTGTACTCCAGCCTGTCTCCAAAAAAAAAACACCTAACAATTTATTGTTTAACCCTAAATCATATTTACAATTAGTTATGAAACACTCACAAAATAGAAAAAAATTGAATAAAATTTTATATATCCTAATGTTTATATGTTTACTTTGCAAAATCTTGAAATGCATTTTTCTCCTTTTCTCCCCCACCTCCATCCTAACAAGTGCACCTGTATTACTGAAGTACTTGTTCTTCACACATTATTTCATGACGTTGTGAATGAAACATTTAATGTCCTCTCTCAACCCTTTGGCTTAACATTAGTTTAGTCCTTCTCCAGGACCTCACCAGTATCCTCACCACCTCTCATTGGGTGGATTGACCCTCCTCTCTTCTCTCTGAACACTCTGCAAATGAATACCGCAGGTGGAAATCTGTCATCTGCTTCTCACTGCCACATATAGAAATTGTGTGCTTAAGCATCCATATTGCTAGTGCCTTAGCACAGTGCCTGGCAAGAAACAGCCATCCAATAACTGTTAATTGAACTACTCTGAACCCAAGTACAAAATTCAATTAATTCCATTTTGAATTAGACTAATTTTAAAGGACTGAAATAGCTAAAATCTGTTAGTGTGAGTAATAAAAGAGAATAAATATAAAAATTAAAAAATAACAATAACAACAACAAAAAAGCTAAATCTGAAAGCAAATGTATCTTACCTCTGTTTTCTTTCAGGATTTCAGTATATAAGAGTGCATGTCCCTGGTGCTACAGAATCTGCAACAATAAGAAATGACTTTTTGTGTGATCTGTGTGCATCTTCACTTCAAGAAGACAGAAAATTTAGAGTACTTGGTGGTAATATGCATTTACATTTTGTAATCACAATTTTAAAAATAGTGTCTGATATTTCATTGTGGAAATTAAATTGAGTATATATTCTAATATCTAATTCTTTTTTGCTCTTTGCTTTAAGATAAACAAATAGTTGAAATAATTACCACAAAGGCACTTCATGCTTTTCAAGGATATTCTAACAACCAGCCATTTAGGTTTCAATCTCTTACAATTTTCCTAAGAGGTAAGTGAATTCTGTTTGAACTCAAATTGCTATAAAGATGTAATTGGCTGGACACAGTGGCTGGCTCATGCCTGTAATCTCAAAACTTTGGGAGGCTGAGGTGGGAGGATCACTTGAGGCCAGGAGTTTGAGACCAGCCTGAGCAATATAGTGAGACCTCATCTCTATAAATTAAAAAATTAGCCAGATGTGGTGGCATGTGCCTGTAGTCCTAGCTACCTGGAAAGCTAAGATGGGAGGATCGCCTAAGTCCAGCATTGGAGGCTGCAGTGAGCTGTGATGGTGACACTGCACTCCAGTCTGGGAAACACAGAGAGACCCTCTCTCTTTTTTTTTTTTTTTTTTTTTTTTTTTTTTTTT